GTTCTTCTCTTCCTACAAAATCCCAAGTCATGCCCATGCTCCTGTTAACAATTTCCTTTTATTTACTTATATACCACACATCAATTAGGAATAGCCTACATCGTTCATTTTAATTTAAAATAAATGTATGATAATTATTTAATAAACTAATATATAATTTATTATAAAACTAAATTAACCGAAACATATATTTTACAAATGTATCATACATATACAGTATTATTTATTAATGTGATTAATCTATTTTAAAAGTCACTATCTCAATCATCTAAAATCATCATTATATTTACTTAATTCTAAAAATTACTCAATTAATAATAATAATTTATTGAATGAAAGTAATACCACCAACTTGTTAAAGACTTTTTTCCTGCAACTAACAGTACTGTTATAATTTTCTAAATACTTGTATCAATCAAGAGGATGAACGGCAGGGGATGGACGCACGTGAGCTGCTTCCCCATACTCACATGCCCTATGTACGCCCACGTATTTTCCATACAATGAACAAACAAACCACCCCTATCACAGTAACAGAAGAAAGAGGGGTCCCGTCACCTCAATAACTCTTCAATGTATGCACTTCACATGACTTTTGCCTAATCCTAACACATTATTTTTAAATTAAAAAAAAAACAATTATTTTTAAATCTCCTTGACGAAGGTTCGTCAAATTTAAACCCATCTAAACATATTTTTTAATTTATCATATCCAATTATTAAAATATAAGAAATTTGAATTCAAAGTTAGAGAAAACATAAATATACGGGGAAAAAAAAAAAAGTTAGAGTTGATGTGACAAGAAAACTTAAGAATTTATAAAAACAAAAACGGGAGATTTCTTTAATTATTAGTAAAACCACCTTTCCACTCTCTAAAACCACTTTTAATTAAATTAAAAAAATGAAAAACGGGATCGCGTAATATTGGTTGGGGCCCAGATGAATTGGTTCCGTGAGTTGGCCACGTGATTTGGGAGGCGTGACGATGTGGTAGGCAGACATTTTTAATCACGTGATGGAGAGCGGATTCCACGGAGAAACTGACAGCTGTCGTTAATCAAAAGTTTAAATAAAATTATTAAAGCGATTAATCCGAAGAAAAGGAATAAAAACTAAAAAGTATTAGTTAACTGATCCCTAAACGGATTCCTTAAGAAGGGAATGTCCATGTTACAGGGGAAAACTCTGATTATATCAAACGACAACTGTTTGGCTTCCGCTTCCGCCGTTTCCGCGCTTGCGTTTTCTTTCTTTCTACTATTTTACTTTGTCTTTTGTGTTACATTGTGATTGGATAAACAATTTTATACTTCGTTAATTTTCATTTAACGGACTACGGCATGAATATTTTAACACAAAGCTAAATGTATGTTTCATTAAAGGAAATATGAAATGACTTTAGGCAATTGTATTATTGATGACACTAAAAAATTGGAAAAAGGAAAAGCAATATTATCTGTGTACATGAACCTCTTGTTTGAGTTGGAATATTTATTTTACTTTACGTCTAGTTGTTTAATGAATCAAGAGTTTAAAACATGTCATTCCCTTAAATTAGTATTATTTTATATTTGTAAAAACATTATTCATTGTGGTAGTCTACTTTGTGACTATTATTTAATATGTCTCTTCAATAATTAATTTAGATTCGAATATGGTATTAATTAATGGATAATCTTAGGTCTGAAATGTCAAAACTTGTGAACCTTATAAAATCACCATTACTCTAACTCTTAGTAACTTAATAAAGGAAGGTGAAAAAGAAAAACTTAGGGTAATTATTTATTTAATTTTGATTGCCTAGGAAATCATAGGTTTCCTGGAGATGGATGATTGGGACCCAGAGCTAAGTAGGGTTGGTTGGTTGGGCTGGCCCATCCAAAGCGTGGGTGTCAATTTGGGATGTCCTTTTGTAAATTTGCACGTGAGTTGCGGGGTCAACTCACGTGGCCCACCTCTTCCTTCTGTGACGACAAACATGAAAATGACTTCACATCGCTTTTCACGTTACAGACATTTCTTTCTCCCTCTGTCACCATTATTCACCCCTCGTAGTTTCTTTCTACAGTATTTTCTGGGTATTTTTAACTAAATATTATTAATTAAATTATAATTTATAATAAACTTTTTAACGCATGGGTCATGCATTTATAAATAAACCTTTCAAATGTTTTTTTGTTTTCTTTGTATTTGGCATATGGATAACAAGTTAACAACCGGCCAATTTCGGAATTGTTGAAAATTCAAAGTTATGTGTAATGTTGATGGACCACTTTCATATAGAAAAATAAATGGCGTAAAATTGGAATCATTAAATATTAAATAGTTGAATCAATTTAATTAATTAGTTGATGGTGGTTAACAATAAGTAATATTATTTAAGATAAGACAGTATGTAGACATAGTAACGACTCTCAAACAAGTGCAGTCCATGTGGGGTTTCGTTTGTCCATTCAAATCCATATCTTGTTCATGTGATTAGGAGAAAGCTCTTTCAATTAATTAACAATTATAATCTAAATTAATTTTATTTTTATATAAACAGAGCCTTGGCACAATCAATTAGACACTTGGGAAAAAAAAAAACTATATAATTTTTGACATAAAAATGACCCCAACATCGCAAACGTCATTTCACAATCAATGTACTTGAATAGGAAAGTCACAACATCTACCACGTTTTGGAATTTTCTTAAGAAATTGAATTTCATGTAAAGGAGTCACATGGTCATCACCTCTCTTCACACAAAATTATTATATATATTGGTCACATTAGATGCCTAATACATGTCCCCTAAATATGTATCATATCTAATATATGATGAATTTTTGTAGCTTAAAATTTGATCAAAAATAATTACATGAATGAACGGCTTCTAAGAATTTTCTTAAGAATATTAAACTCAATGGAAGTAGAATATTAGAACATGGTACAATTTTTTAATGGAGAGCCATGTTCTGCCAATTTTAATTAATTAATTAATATCATATAATATAACATTACAAGGAAAAAAGATATTGTCACGCCAAGCTGTTTCTATTGCATTCATGCACCATAGTGTGAATGCTAAACCATGATTGTTTGAATTAAAAAAAAGAAAGAAAAAACCCATATGTTTTTAGAGTACGATATTAATTAAGATTCAATATTTAAAATAAAAAAAAAAAAGACAACTAGAAATAGAGAATTAAAAAGAAATTTAAAATCTATGACAACAAATTAAAATAAACTTACATTGTTAATTCATCACATTCTGATAGTAGCTAAATAAATTAACTTTGTCTGAGTCATCTTCGTTTTGGCTCTACTCATTTGGCTTTATGCAATAAAGTCTTTGCTATAACTCTCAATAATGAATCGATGTTAATAATTTATTTAATGCTTGTCTATGCTGTTGTAATTGAAAAACTTTATATTATATCAGACAAGATATTTAAAGCGTTTGTTACAACATTTCACAAGTTGATACATTGAGAATCATTTATATATATTTTTATGATAAGGACTATTGTGGTATCTAATTTCATTTACTCCTCCATTTTTTCTCTTTTAACGTCAAAGCGTTGGTACTAATTTGGATCTCTACAAGTTTTATAATTCAGTTGAAAATTTTACTAATGTTTTACGTTCAATCATTCGAGATAATATTGCATCATTTGTATCACTATGACGAAAGAAGTTTTATAAGTTTTTAAATTCAAATCTTACAAACATTAATAAAAATTGCCATTGAGATTATTATCTGATTAATAATTTTAAAATCTAATAGATTAATTGAGATATACGTTTAAACTGATTTAGACACCTTAATGATAAAAAATAATAATAATAAATATCATTTAGAACAAGAAAAAGATAAATGAAGAAAAAGGGGTTAAGAAGGCACATGGGGGAGCTAAATGAGATGGAGAAAGTCCCGCGTTTCCCGCAAAGCTAAATCCGCATTCACAGAATAGATGACTACTCCTAGTACAGTACATTTCAGTTAATACAAGTAGTAGCACGTGATATTTTTCCCTTTACCACCAACATCCTCTCTGCTCTGTAACTTATTAATTAATTTCCTTAGATAATCGGGATCTGTGCTCTAATCATCACCTGTAAGTATTAACATTATCCCCTTAATTCTTTTTCCGTGTCAACAGGTAACTGTTTACAAGTCAACCTTTTTCTGTTTACTATTTTCACGTGACTCATACTCTCTCTTCGCCTTCGCCTACACTTGCCTGTACAAAAACAAAACCCTTTGTCACTGTTTCTCTGCGGTCAAATTCGCTGCTTGTATTGTCGGGTCCTATTACGGTGACGTAATTAAATTAATTTGATAATTAAAAGGGATTATTTATCCCTTTTACTGAAACGACACCGTAGTAGCAATTCAGATGGTTGGTTTGATTTGTATTAATATAGGTTGGGCTAACAAAGCACATGCTGTGTAGATCCTTATATGTACAACTAATCTTTAAGACACTAGTACTTCTTCCAAGTGGTGTACTCATGAGCCACTGCAAATCCCATATGTCATGCCTCTTCTTCAGGTTACATTTTTTTAATTTTTTTTTTTAATTTTAGGCTTTGGAGACATGGGTGTTTAGTGTTTTTTTATAATTTTTTATTATTTGAAAAATAAATATTAAAAAATGAGGAATATTACTGGATCCCGTCAGTAGATCCTGAAAGCTGTTAAAAATGCTGAAGACGGCCCATACTTCCGAAACAAAATTACGAATCGAGATTAGCAAAACCATAAAAAATATAAATCGGGATTGTCAAAAAATATTAAATAAACAAATAAAAAGATTGTGAGTTTCCCAAACCACCATGTGACACCGTAACAGACCAAACGGAGTCCGTTTCATCAGGAAACTAACGCCGTCAACAGCGCCGCAACGTCGTTAGAGAAACGCCGTTTTATCTAACGGGAGCAATGAATAGAAATACTTTGGAGAAACAGAAAGCAAGCAGAACATCTTGAACCAAAACACACACCAGACAGATAGAGAGAGAAAGCGACAGGGAAAGAGAGAGAGAGAGAGAGAGAGAGAGAGAGAGAGAGTTTCTCTTCGACCTACAGCCAAATCTTTGGCAACACTGTAAGTTTTTAAGAAAAAAGAAAAATTATAAATAAAGCTGAGAGTCTGAGAGAGTGATTGAAAAGAGAGAAGAGAAAAAAAAAAAAAAATTTAGTCGAAAAACGAAGTAGATTCCTCAGCATTTGTGAATCCTGATCTCTCAATTCAAACAGAGCCATCCACCAGCCTTTAAAAAGTTCTGGTTTGGTCCGCTTTCAAGTTCACTATTTAAATTCTCCTTCTTTCATCGAAGCGTTTGCGAGTTTGAATTGAACGTTAATAATAATCAGTTTTGTTCGGATCAAAGGTACGTGTGTGGATTTTGTTTATTTGCTTGAATTTCTTCTTTTGCAGATTTTTTTTGTTAATGCCTTCTTCATGTTTCAACAGACAAAAATTTGTTGTTTGAGTGAGAAGTTTGACTCGAATTTGAATGGTATGAATCTGTACCTCTTTGAATTGTTGAATTTGACTTGAACATCGTGTTTGTCTCGGTATATTTTGATTGCAGGTTATGATTTTACGTATAAAGAATTCTTCTTTTGGGCTGAATTGTTCGTAGAAAGATTTTACCGTGAGTAAGTGAAGGAGATTTTCTCTGAGAAAATTCAAGACGGTGCTTCTTCAAGAATCTGAAGTCAATTGCTTATCGGAGAATTCAGTTTTAGCCAGCCGTGAAGGTGAATGCGCCTCCGAACTCAGGCGGAGGCGCGAATTTTCTCGTTAGAATCTAAATTTTGTATGCAAATCGGATCTGAGAACCAACGGTTGAATTTTCCAACAATTCAACACCTGAACAGTGAATTAATTAAAGAATTCACCGAATCTCCACGGAATTTTGAAAAAAAAATTCAGCTGGAGATGGAGCTTCCTCAATCCCGTCCCTTTGGAACTGAAGGTAAGGTATTTTACAGAAAAACAAAATTAATAAGTTCTTTTGTAACTTTGTTTTGATTTTCATTATGGATAACAAAAACAGAATTTTTTTTTGTTTTTTTGTTTTATGTTTTAACTGTGATTTAGAAGTTGTTTTACAGGAAGGAAACCAACACACGACTTTCTGTCACTGTACAGTACTCATCCAACAGTCCAACAAGATCCAAGACCGTCTTCTCAAGGTAAAATTCTTCTCTCTTTTCGATCCATTTTTAAGATCCCAATAACCTGGTTGTTCTTTTCTGTTTATTATTATTATTATTTTTGAATATTTGTCTTTTAAAATGTTTTTATGGGTTAAAAAAAAAATTAAAAATTAAAACAAAAATCTCTCCATCTTTAATTCTTTATTTATGTTATAGTTATTACGCGATCACGATTTGTCTAATGCACGTGACTGGATCTGGGCCATGGATGGTAATGGGCCAAATCCGAAAAGGAAAGGATTTAGCAGTTAGTAGTAATTAGCACCATCAGATTGGGTTATTGAATGGGTCCCATTTTAGAAGTTAGACAATGATTTGACAAGTCACGTGATTCACATCAGGCCCTGATGCCGGCGCATGGTATTCAGAATGCTAAGCTTCCCACTGTAGAAACAGCACGCGCTCCTTTCTTTCTCAATTTGGCAAAAATTTGTTTCTGTTGCCCTTAATCTCAATTTTTTTTTTTTTTATAATTAATCATAATAATTATATAATTGTGAGATGAAATATATAAGTAATTCTTTTTAATTTTTATATGAATTTATGGACGGTTAAATCATTAGATTGTGATGTGAGATTACTATAATTTAGGGTTAATAATTTAAACTGAAATAAAATCACAAATTTTTACTATCATCACTTTTACTTTGGCAACAAAAGTATGGATCTTTCATTGACAAAGAAAATGAAAATGAAAGACCCTGGTGTGATATCTTGTTCGTTACCAACTTGTGATTGTCGTATTGCCATTTAAATATCTTTGAATTCTTTTTAACCTTTTTATTTATGTATTTATTTATATTTATCTAATTTTACCTCAACTTTGTGCAGCATGTATGTTCCAATCCAGAATTAATATTCATAATTATAAATGAATTCTGAATTCCGAATATGAATTGTTTCCTTTTTGATTCTTGAACAGGTAGTTTCCTCAAAACTCATGATTTTCTACAAGTAGGAAAGGAAGAAAGCACGGTTGAAATATCATCGAGTGTTGAAAAGCCACCACCTCCGGCGCCGCCTCCGACTTCTGTGGAACATATTCTCCCCGGTGGGATTGGGACTTACAGTATAAGCCACATTTCGTATTTCAATCAGAAAGTTCCAAAGCCAGAAGGATCGATATTCACGGTAGCTCGGGCGAGTAGTAGCGAGAGAAACGATGAGAATTCTAACTGCAGTTCTTACACTGGAAGTGGTTTCACTTTGTGGGAAGAATCTGCAGTCAAGAAGGGAAAGACAGGGAAGGAGAATGCGGGAGATCAGAGAGCCAATGGAAGAGGTATTTAATAAAAAATTCTTATATTATAACTGCACTTTACGTTTATATAGTTAACTAATTAATTTCATGCATTATCAACTTAGCATGGACTTTTGCATGCAAAGTGGACGACTGGAATTTTAATGTTAAAGCATGGGTATTCAATTTTATTCAATTTCTACTTCATGTTTTAATCTTCTCTTTTTTTTTTTTTAATGCAAACTTGCAATTATGGAATAGTAGTATTTTTGGATTCTAAAAATATTGGAATAATATTATTCTGGATATATTAATATTTTGGACCTAATTTGTAATTGGATATGGCCTTCACCCATAGTGGAATACATCACTAATTTTTTTTTCCTTAGAAAAAACGAGTTTGTGGAATTGTGGATTATATATTCAAACTGGACTCTGAACTGATAACAACTATAAAAGTAGCTCTGCGCATTGTATTTTTTTTTTTTTTTTTTTTTTTTTTTATAATATGGAAATGTGATTTTTTTGGATGGTATGTATTGACTGGGCTTGAATTATGGGCTAGTTAGTCCAGTTGAATTTGAATAATGTGAAGTTTAGAGAGACAAAAACGGAAAAAACTGAAACTAACGAAGCTTTTGGGGCTACTGTGCATGGGCAGAAGCGGCAGTGAAAGTGGGGCAGTGGCCGTCACAATCGTCTTCTAACAACAATCACCATCGCAACAGCTTCAGCTCTCTCTCTTCCTCTCAGTCAGTCACTTTCTCTCTCCATTTTCTTCCTCTTTAACTTTACTTTTGCTTTGGGGTCAAATTTAGTTGGCGAGGAATATAAAAGATTGAATAATTGATGTCGTTATTTTAACAGACAATCGGGGCTGAAGAGCCAGAGCTTCCTAGAAATAATAAAGTCTGCAAAAGATAGTACACAGGATGAAGATTTAGACGATGAAGAAGAGTACTCTCTGAAGATAGAGAACTCTTCTACTGTCCTTAAAGGTAAGTCTCACACAATTCACAAACAAGACAACCTGTTGTGCTTTCTTATGAACACATATAATTTGCCAGTTTCTTTTTAGTTCATTTACCATTTTTCTTGCGATTTAAAGGTTCTGAATTGTACAGGGGAATTGAAGGTAAAAGTTGATGGGAAGAACACTGATCAGAAGCCCAACACGCCAAGATCAAAACATTCTGCAACAGAGCAACGAAGAAGGAGCAAAATAAATGACAGGCAAGTGTAACCTTCCTTTTCAATGCCATCTTTTTAAAATTCCCTCCAACTCAAGTCTAAGCAGATCTTCACATTACAGTATTCATATGCAAGTTCGTTTTCTTAATTGTTATTCTTTTTGGGCGACATTCTAACTGAAGTTTCTTAATCTAATTAGATGCTAACACCGGAATTCATAGATTGTGTTTTCTTGCAAGTTTGTGTTTTCATTCTGGGACCCGTTTGTTTTGACACAAGAGATTTGCATTTTCCTGTACTTCGAATATAACCATTGTAGAATTTAGGACGGCGATCCTTTGTACCATGTAATTATGGGTTTGCTCGTTCATGTTCTGCTCTAACCGGTGGTCTTAGTTATAGGAAAGAACTGAAATCATTGGAAATAGTCTGTTGAATATCTTCCAATTCGTCCCATTTCTTTGGAACTTGCTTTATGGTATTTGCAGTCTCCCTCACTGTCATTACAACCATTAAGCCTCAAACTCTTAAAAGATGAAAATATATATATATTTGTATCAATCTAATGATTTGAAATCTTATGGACATTCATTATGAGGTCCTTGGAAGGGTTGCTATTTATGCCCAAATGAGGAGTTGTGGTCTTTTAATATTCAGATAATTGTTTGGATTATAGAGTTTTAGCTAAGTATTTTGCAAAATATCCATTTCTCTGGTGAAAAAACTTAATCAAACTCTGGTTTTGATTGGTAAGCTACCGGTTAGCATTGTTGCATATCTTGTCAATAGTTGCAATTTTGATTGATCAATTAATATTGGAGGTGGTTGTCAACACAATCAGGTATTAACAGTTAGAATTCATCATGCAGATTTCAGATGTTGAGGGAACTCATTCCTCACAGTGACCAAAAGAGAGACAAGGCATCATTCTTGCTTGAGGTATGCACATGTCTCATAATAGTTTATTTTTTGTTTGGAAGGCTCACTTTAAATTGATTGTTGGATGATGAGACATTAAAATCATTTTGCAGGTTATCGAGTACATTCAGTTCTTACAGGAAAAGGTACACAAGTACGAAGGTTCGTACCAAGGATGGAACCAAGAAACAGCTAGATTCATGCCATGGGTAAACTCACATGCTTGCCTCTGTAAATCTATTGTGTATTTTAGGACATGTAACCACATTAACCGTATATGATTTTAATTTACATATCCTTATCTTCATTTTGATTTGAGTTTGTCTCTCTACTTTCTTTGCAGCAGAGAAACAATCAGAAGCCTGTTGAAAGTTATGTTGATCACTCCCAAGGCGGGTCTGGTCCTGCATTGGTGTTTGCTGCCAAGTTTGATGAGAAAAAGATACCGATTTCTCCAGCAACTCCTGGAAATGCACAGAACCAAGTAGAATCTGACTTGAGTACTGCTGCTACTTTCAAGACAATGGATCAGCAGCCTGGAATAACAAATAAAGCAATGCCCTTTCCTATGGCGTCGCTTCAGCCAAACTACTTCACTCCGGTTAGGAGTGGCAGTTTGGCCGCTCAACTTCCACCTAGGTTGACAACTGATGTAGAGCAGCACACAACATCTCAGCCACAAGGGCAGCTATGCAATGCTAGATCATGTACAAGTGATGGGGCTGTTGTCGGCAATAAGCTGAAAGAACAAGAGCTGAGTATTGAAAGTGGCACAATAAACATCTCAACCGTGTATTCTCAAGGGTGAGTTCTTTTTCAATATGTTTCCTTTCTGTGAATCAGGCTCAATTTCTTACATTGAGGTGCCCTTGAAATAAATTGAAGAACATAATGTGATTTGTGGCTCAATAACATTAGTGATACTTGAATGGAACAGGTTGTTAAATACCCTGACACAAGCACTGCAGAATTCTGGAGTTGATTTGTCGCAGGCCAGCATTTCAGTGCAAATCGATATCGGAAAGCGTGCAAATAGTAGAGCCATTGACCCATCATCCATTATTAAGGTACATTCAGAAGCATAATATTTTGTATGAATCCCCATTTGGCAGAGTTATGAACTGAAGTCCAATATTGTTTGTTACAATTTTAGGAAAATAAGGTTGCCTCCAGCAATCAAGGAACCACTCGTTGTAGAGGTGGAAACGGTGAGGAGTCGGATCAAGCAATAAAGAAGCAAAAAAACAGATAAAAGGTAGGTTCAGAAATTTCATAGTATTAAAATTATAGTTTATTGTAATTTAATTAATTCATTTTCGGGGGGTCCTGGTTGAAAGGTAGATGGAATGTATATGTAGTGGGTTTGATATAAATTGTTGGGATGCACAGAATTCCTAACAAATATTGGTATCATTTGTTGAATCATTATACATGGTTCCTTACTATTAATTGTTGAGAAGCTCTTTTTTTTTCATTCAAGGCTTCCTCTATTCATTTGACATGTATCTAAACACGGTTTGGTTGAAATATGGATTTTTTCAACCTTTTCCTTTTATAAATACTTGTTATGGAGCATATGCCCATGCATTTTACCCCAACTGTTATGTACTTTACACACAAAAGCTTTCTCATTTCAGCTTTCTCTTATTCTGCTCATTTACATTCTTAGTTTATTAGTTTTAGTGATGCATAAAGCCCTTAGTTCAATATAAGCTAAAATAGATCATGTATAGTATAAAATACATTTATAATTGTATAAGCAAGAATCAGGATCCTCTCTCAAGTCATGTCAAAAATATTGTTTACTGGGAACATCTGAATTAGTGTTTTTGGTTTCTCACAGGGTTATGCATTTGAACTTACGGTTTTCTAAGAGAGTTATAATAGACAGAAACAAATTAGAGAAGGCCTTCAGTACCTTCTCCAGTAACTATGGCCTTGTTTGGATTGAGGGATTACAAAATTAATGTATTTGATAAATTCTATTGTTTGGTTTAAATATAAAATCCATGAATTGTTGATTCAAATTTTTATGCACTCATGTTTGGTTAGATGAATACAATTTATGGATTTGATAAATAATTTTCAGCTTTACCCTTGATATCCAAAACCAACCAAAATTCAACTTTGATCTAATATTATACTCTTTCTGTTTCTTTATAAATGTCGTTTTGAGGGTATTAACTTTTTTCAAAATAAATGACGTTGTCTTTTCTCTTTCAATGTTTCTCTGACCCACATCTTCATTTTCTACTTTGCCCCTCATCTCCTCTCTCCACTTTTTTCTATGACCCACATCTCCTCTCTCTCTTTCAATATTTCACACATGTGTGCAGTGGGAAAAACAAAGGGTGCGTTTGGCTCCCTATTTTTATCCATATTCCCAATCCTATTCTCCAAATAATGTTTGGCACACTATTCCAGAAATATTACCCTATTTTTTTAATTATTTTTAGACCCCATAAGGTTATTAATTTCACTAAATGCCCCCTGAATTTTTTTTAAAAAAATTAACAAAAACCCCCCCATCAACCCAACTTGTCAGATTCCGGCAACCACCATCGGTGATAGCCGGAATCTGTACAACGGCCTAAATTCCGACCATAAATGGTCGGAATTACACCGATCTGGCCGTCAGCGACGGCCAAAGAAATGGCCGTCGTTGACCGAAAACGACGGCCATAACAGGCCGTAGATCTGGCCTTTTTCGGCCAGATCTGTGGTGGATCTGGCCGGAAAAGGCCATAATGATGCGTTACGGCACAGATCCGATCGGTCTGTGCCGTAACGAAATTTTTCGGCCAGATTCCGGCGGTGGCGGCCGGAATCTGACACTGCAGGTGGTGGGGGTGTTTTTGTCATTTTATATAGTAGGGTCTTTAATTAAATTAGTAAACCTAAGGGCTTTTTCATAAATTTTTCAAATTTACCTCGTAATACTCCCCTATCCAACAATCCAATACTACCCTCAAAATCCTGTCCAAAATACTACACCAAACGCACCCAAAATTTTCCCACGTGCAATATCAGAGGAAAAAGTCAATTTGAGAAGAGATAAAATTGATACATTAAAAACTGTACAGAGGCTTAAAACGACGGTTATATAAAAACGGAGGGAGTATTTGATAGAGAAATCCAATTATAATTAATGATTTTTTGTGATTTGGTTAAAAAAAAAAAAAAACAAAAAGAATTCCAAGTTAATATAATATAGTATCAATTCATTCATGAAAAATTTAATAGTTGAATAATTTCATATTAAAACATATAACATAACCATAGCTATATATAGAAAATTAGTGTTAATATAATACACTAATACCATGTCCAAAAATGCATAATCAATTGCTGATCATGCATCTGGAATCAAAAGAGCCAAAACATGTCTTCTTTGCTTCATCATCTAAATCGAAGAAGAAATCAATTTCAAATAGGCATTTAACTATCTTTATTGCCATAGCTAATCAGTTTCCAATTATGTCTCTAGTATGCTCTAAGATGTTAATGATGTAAAGGTGAAGAGTTCAAAAAGAGAGAACGATAAATATATTTCTTTTAATTAGGGTAAAAGATAATTACTAGGATATTAAATTATTAATAAGGATAGGATTGAAAAATTTAAGTAGTAACAAAATCCCTTTTTTTTTTGTAAATGGATGAATTTGGCAAAATTTTAAAGCCCTCAAAAATAAAGGATTCTGGAGGGGGGTGGATTTTCCAAAATCCATGGATTTCAACTTTTTTTTTTTTAAACCAAACCAAGGATTTTACCAAATCTATGGATTTTACAAAATCATTAATTTAGAATCCCTCGATCCAAAAGAAACCTATGAGATTTTGATAATTTGGTTGACGAATACTGCTTAGAATAATATTAAAGATCTGATCCAGCAGAAATCATACACCGGGCCGGGCCAAAAAGGCCCCCAAGTAACATGTTATTTTATATGTTCAAACCTTATATTATATGAACCGAAGTTTTAGCCTTAAATTTATGTAAACTTTTTTATTGTTGATGGTAACCAGTATAATTTTCTTTATTGTAATTTTAAAGGGAAGATATGTCAATTGACAAAATCAGGTATCCAATCTTTATATATTACCATTACATAGTATGTTTCCTTTCACTCATGTTCTAGTATTTTAATTTCATCCTTTTTCTCTTCCATGAATACAATCAATACGTAAGATAATACAATCTTATATAATTTTAGTTATTATTCATTATATATATATATATATTTCTTGATTGTGATTTATGCATGTTCAAATTATTTTACATTGAAATGCCACTTCAAAGTGGTCTCAAGTTCGAATCATAAGAATGATTACTAATATTGTTAGTCACAGATTGAAGGATTTGTCTTGTTTCGGAAGTCTTGTGCGGGGTCGGTAGACTGTAAACTAGTCCGAACACCCCCGGTAACAAAAAAAAAAAAAAAATGTCACTTCAAAAAGTATTTCAGTTTCTTTTATATAAAAATAATTTATAATGAATGAACCAAAATCCATATTTTGTTTATACATAAAAATATTTCAAGTTTCAACTACACACTACAACTTTTTGAAGGATATTCAATTGAAAAATATTAATATATTTGCCTTGATTCTCCGACACTCCAAAGCTCTTCGAAAGCTTAAAACCCGGAAGCATATGTGACAAAGCATATTAATTATAACATTGAACTGACCCTACCACATAATATGGTGATTTAATATTGAAGAAATGGCAATATAGAATGTAATTAAGGAGGAAACAAAGAACAAGAGATTGATATCATCAATAAATATTAAGTTGACGGGATCTTTCCCAGTCCAACAACTGCAAATCGAATTTGGGTTTGTTGTACCATCCACGTTTCTCAATCTGGGCAAATAAATATCCTTGCCATTATTGACCTCGCCGTCCTCCCTGTCCCTGATAATAAAAATTATATTTTACTTACAACTCAGGCAGTGATTTGTTGTTTACATAATTAAACAAAAATGGCCGATTGTAATTCCAATTATTACTTAATGACAATGATAATTGCCCAAGGGAAATGGCTCCTTCATCTATGTTAGTTTCTTGGAAAACTAAACTTCATAGGGATCTCCATGAGGGTATTGACTTGGAGATTAATATCCATTTATTTAGATAAAATTTGAAGTCAAATGACAAAATTGAAAATTGACAGATAATAAAAAATATTGTAATATCGCTATAAGCTGGAAAAGCGAAGAAAATGATAATTTGAGTGGGCCTTTTTGCCTGTCACCTCTTGCCGTCTTTATATATTATCAATCATTTTCTATCTTTTTTTTTTTCTTTTTCATTGTTTGCGTCTAAGACTTGTCATTATATTAATACAATGAATTACAATAACATAAAACGTCTCGGGTCAATTATTTCTCTTCAAATGCCAGCTAAGAAGAGCAAGGACCACATACAAATTACAAAACAAGCATTCTCTCATTATAATCAAAGACAGGTGATAATATGGACCGCAATTCCATGAGATTATATTCCAATTAAACTAAACAATAACAGAATGATTGTTGAGTTTGAGTACGAAGAGAATCTCCACGTTTAAATAGTACCACCACCACCACCACCACTACATTATAAGCCAACTGACAATAACATCCTCTTAATTGAAACGCCAAACCAAAAAATTTATAGACATGAAATGGCCACCACCGGACCAAATGGAATAAACCTAGATTCCAAATTAACACAATTGTGGACATCTTTGACCGGTTTTGGTTTGTTGTCTTGTCATGATCAAAACCCAGTTGCAATTTTTAGACATCTTTTTTCAGAAAGGCAAATTTGACCAAATTTTACAAAACAAATCGAATAGGACGAAAAGTAAAAATATTTTTCTGCGAAAGTAGCAATGAATTTGCATAGTGTGAATTAAAAGATAAAATTTAGAATGTAATATATGCTAGGGAACTCACAAGACCATGGTCGTCGATCTACAAAAAAAAAAAAAAAAAAAATAGAAAGCGGAAGGCCAAGGGAGGGACAGATCCTTCCATGAATCTCTGGTTCCAAAGTAAAAACAATTTTATATTTGCTTCCCTCAGTGTACAACCAAATTTTTATCTCATATCACCCTGTAATGGCAGGCTACCTTCTATACACAAAATGAATTATTGGCATATATTAAAAGATCTTCACCTTCTCCAGTTCCTTCTGAAGATTTCTCTCAGGCTTTTTCGAAGTTTACCAACCACAATTATCTTCGTAAATGCTCTTAAGAACAACATCAATCATTATCACTTCACCTCTGAGTAGGGAACTACCTTTTCATCTGTCAAAGTAGCTACCACCCTGAGAGAACACTGGTAAATGCCACTCTCTCACAACACGACAATCATGTACTACTTAATGGATCAAATGATGATGGTTGTAAACATTCTTCAGGATTGGAGTAGAAGTAATCCTCTTCTTTTGGTCTGTCTGGGATCACCATCCTACTACTTGGTCCTCCCATGCGATCGGCATGAGCTTCCTTTACAGCAGCAGAAAACTCATCCCAACTTAGAGATCCATTAGTATACTGGTCAATAAGATCAACCAAAAGCCTTCTCTCCAACAAGATTGTCTTCTTGTAGCCAAGGAATCTGAAGAAACAATAAATAACGCTGTGTCATGTTCAAGAAAAAAAAATAAAGAATTTACCCAAAAAAGATTTACTATAATTAATATTAGCTCAAACAAAAATCACACATGGTAAAAGTCATAATTCTTCCTCAATTAAATAATAATTAATCTAAAATCAACCTAAAACAGTTTAATGAATCTAAAATTTATTTTTCCCTCTTAACGTAGATTCAAATTTTAATATTAGTCTAATGGCCAGAAAATAAACTGTCTGTACTAAGGGTGTCTGCACAAATTATTTTTCTGTGACAGAGAGAAATTGGTTTGGAAGTTTGAACCCCAAAATCATGATCCAAAGCCACACAAAACAAATATAACTCATTACAACTAAAATCAGTTAATATTTGATATCAATAATAAGTGTACACTGTCATCAGAACATTACCTGCGATGGCCTTCAACAACTTTAGCCATGTTTCCATCATATGTAGGAACAAAAATGTCACTCTCCAACGACACAAGATAATCTAATGCTGCCATCTGGGATGAGTGGTTCTGGAAAAACCTAAGGTCTGCTGGTTCCAACAGAGTTTCCTTTCTGACCTGTTCCAGAAAGCAAAAGTAGTTTATTATTACTAGTGCAAAGCAAGCACCAAAATCAAATAATATGGCTTCAGTTTTCATCTTCTAACCAATCTTGGATAAGCTGCCGCAAGACTCGCCATTCTCCTTTGTCCACCATATATTTCGCCAGCAGCAATATAAATCTGTATACTAGGATCAACGTCCAGGGCCCTCAGAGTAAGAGCAGTTTCCTCAGGTGTCAAAGGGCACAATCCATCTTTCCTCTTCAAGTCGGAATTTATAATTTTCTCTTTCCACCAAGGATATGCATATCTGCCAAAACATGAAAATTTCGGCCAGCAGTAAGAATCAAGTTTAAATTTCATACTTCTCTTGGACCAACTGAAACTTATGCATAGATGCTTTACTTACCTCATCCTTGTCAACTCGTCCACCTCCTCCTTGTTGCAACCTTGAGTGCAGCCAGAAAATGCCAACATGTCCATTTCATATCTAAGGTGAAGTACCAGGAAAGGACCATTCTGTCTTAAGAGTCTGATAACTCTTTTACCCAACTCCTCTATCTGTGTAGTAAATCTTAAAGCGCTAAAATTTACACGGCAGCGGAGTTTTTGAATCTCCAAAGGTTGACCATTGTTGGCAAGTCGAGCATCAGTTCTGTTCAGATGTACAACTTTGTACTTCTGTATCAGAGGGAGAATCTGTTCACAAGGAATTCAAAGCAAACCTATTACCCTGAGAAGAGTCTTTAAGGGGAAAAAAAAAAAATTGTGCAAGCACAAAAGACATATAACTAAACATTTCACTAGTTTTACATCTCAAGAGCATCCTAAGATACCTCAAGTTTTGAAATACCAAGATTACCAGTTCAAGATTAGGTATTACAAATTCTAAGGATCCATATTGTAGTGAAATTAAATGCTAACTGAAATTCAATGTAGCAATTAAGGGAAAAAACAAACCCACCTGATTATGATAGTAAGATATATCAGACCAACTAACTGGAGGCATAGAATAAACTCTTCCTAGTTCCACTCTCCTCTTGAGTCTAGGAGGCAACACTTTCAATATCCTGACCTCATCTCTCAATGATGTAATAAAATGATCCACATCAAATATATCTTGGAATTCACTGCATAAAGGTGATTAAAATTGGGTGAGAACTATCATCCTAGTTCAAAAACAGGGGATGAAAATTGCCTCCATCCTAAAAGCAAGAAGCTGAATAAGAAATAGAAGGAAGGAGATTAGGACATACCTAGGATCAGCCCAGAAGGAGGCTTTATCCAGTTCAGGGACTATAAGAGTAACATTCAAATGCCTCGCAATAGCCACCATGTCACAAATCTGTTACCATACACACCCACATACAGAAAAGAACAAATTATTCAACAGATAAAAAACTAACAACAAATTAAGAACACAAAAGACAAGAATGAATTGACAAGAAAGAACCAAGTCTTCAACAAACCACTCACCGCCGCTCTCATTTGATTGAGACCTCCATTGCACGAAACCATAAGGTAGCCATTGTTCTTATAGACCCCTAATCCAAACATACCAAGAATCAACATAAAAATCAACTTGTCATTTAATCAATATCAAATTCTAATGATATCGTCAATCAATATAAATTTTCTAAAGATGTCACAGGAACAAGTAACAATTTTACTCACTCTTAGGAGGGAGAACACGCGCAGGAACCGACGGAACCTTATCCTGAACAATAGCAGAGGCTGCGTCGGACTCGCGGTTAAAACAAGGAGGCCAAACGGTCAAGACTCTGGGACCCCAAGTCTCACCAATTGCCGTTAACTGGACTATGCAAGTCCAGAGCAAAACCGACGTCGTAGCCCTTATCATCCAAAGCTTCATTCTGGAACCACCACCACTCTTCAATTGCTGCTGCTTTTCTCCCTTAAAAATCCCTCCTCCTCCTCCCATCTCTCTCTTTCTCTCACTCTTCTCTACCCTGCACATTTACACATCCAAAAAACCGGCAATGCGATTTTTATTTTAAGTTTCTTCTATCAATGTAGCATCTGATATGGTAAGAAAACCCTAAAAACAACTTGCTCTTTTTGGCTATTTGTTTGTTTTATCAGAATCTTCCAGATCCAAAACTTCCAAAATTAGGATCGGCAATCTGATCCCTTAATTTTACACCAAAGTTTTTCCCTAATTAGCACGCTATCCTCTCTAACACACAGATTCCTTCACTCAATTCGCGCCAAAATCCCTAATTTCTACTCACATTACACAAAAAACACATCTAATTTTATTTCCTCAATCTTCAACCACCGACCAAACCCTAAACTAACTCAATCAACAAATTGAATCAACCAATTTTTTCTTGTATACAAAACAAAAAAAAGAAAAAAAAGAAAAAAACTTGATTTCAACAACGATCAAACCAAATGGAGGGAGGTTACTCCGGCCGGAGAGTATGAAAGCGCAACTACACTATTCAGAAAGAGTTGAGAGAGAGGGACAGAGAAAGAAAAGATAAAAGAGAAATAGAGAATGTATAAGCGACGCGTTATTAAATGAATTAAAAGCCTTTTTCTGAGAGTGTGTGCCGTACACCGCCCGATCACATTTCACACATCATCACATAACCCCTTTGGTTTGGTTTGGTTTTAACCATGGCCAGATTAGAGCTGACTAGGGTTAGTGTTGACTGTGGTTAAGTGCAATGGGCCAATAAATTTAAGGTAGCTAAGTTGGGAAAATAGGACTGGGTCCACTAGAAGTTATCTGTAGGATTGCGTGGCACCCATCCGTTGGTCTAAGTTGGACACGTAGCTGCTAGAGACTAGAGTATGAATGGATGATCTGTACCCGCCGTTAGATTCGGAGCTTTTATTAAATTGTCGATACACCGACAATATCTCGCGATAATTTGAAAACGTGAAAAAAAGAAAAAACCTAATGATGAGTTTTCTTATTTTACAAATTTGGTTTTCTGATTGTTTAAAAAATAAAAAAGGAAAAAAAAAACTTAAAATTCAAATACTTCATTAAAAACTTTAATTGTGTGTATTAAAGAAGAAACAATATGCAGGATAACGAAATATTTATAGTTTTAAAATATCTTTTTCCATGATTTATTCTTTCAATAATTAATTCTAATAAATATATATATATATATATATATATATAGTCTTAACCTTTAGAATTTTCTTTGTTTTCCTATCTTTAGACCTCCCTTTATACAGATTTTTTTCTAAAAAATAATAAGATATTTATTATTATTTCTAAAAATAATAAGATATTTAGACCTTCCTTTATACGGATTATTTCTAAAAAATAAAAAGATATTTATAACTTTCAACATTAATTACATTAACGTTCTAAAATTTACTAAGATTAGCACTTTTATTCTAACATAATCCTAATTTGTTTTTATTTAGGATTACAGATTACAAATTGACGTATTAGATAAATTAAAAAAAAAAAGTGAATTTTCATATCTAATACCGTAGTTTTTTTTTTTTTTTAAATAATTCAATAAATCAATGCACAAAAGAATAATGAATACATATGTATTCGACCATTTAAAAGACAAATGCCGTACTCATATTAACTTGAAATCTTTGTTTATTATGAAAACAAATAACATATATATAATAACATAATACCTCCAAAAAATTTAAGTTACCGTTTTAAAATTAAATTTTACATATTTAATAAGATGTATCATCTGATATTATGAAATAACAAAAATTATATATAACGAAATTTAATGAATGTGATTACTTGTGTTTTATGATTTTTATATTATTTATCATTGTAAAAGTTTATAGGATAATATTGATTTTATGGTAACATTATACAAAATACAAAATAAATCTAAATGAATCTCTATTGTTGAATAAAAAAATCTTTAAACTAAAATTTATTTAAATATTTATCTTAATGAAAATTATTTTTTAAAATATTTTTCTTTTTTTGTTTTAATAATAATTTGCTTCGAAAACTGTGTTTTGATTCTTTTGAAAGGGATGACATTTTTGCGTGGCTCTCTTTGTACAGTTCGGGTACTTGAGTTAGTCTCCGTCAGAGTGTCGGTTCTGCCGTGATAACGGGGTAAACTGTGTAGGTGTCAGAACGGTCGAGTGAATACTATCGTCCGTGAGATTGATGTAAACTGCCTGCCACATGGCAGAATCTAAATGGCTTGACCCCTACAATGTTACTCCGCACCAAAATGGGAGGTCCCACTAAAAGTGATGAAGATGCACGCGCTGTTAGACGTACTGAGGACATGGTAGTGCGCTATGTGTCGGTATCCTATTGGATGCCGAGGTGGACAAGCGGTACATGTGTTAATGGAAAACGTTGTACCACGCGCTTGGAAGCCTAGATATGATGTGGTGGTTGTTGGAGTTATGATACTGTGTGGTAGGGTCCAGAGTACAGGTGCAAATCTATTGTGGGGCTTAGTATTTGTAACAGAACCGAGTCGATATCAAGCGCCTGATGCATGAATAAAGTGGAACAGGTTCAACTATTATTATACATAATTAATAATTAATAACAAGAAAAAAAAAAAAAATCGAAATTTTATATTTTTTTATAGGAGAAGTTTTATAGTTATTAATGCTCTTTTTTTTTTTCTGTTTAATAATTTATAAAATATTAATGTTCATAAATCATTATCAACTGATATTAAAATATACTATGTATTTTTAGAATTATATAAGAAAAAATTAATTATAAAAGTATCAAAAATCCTATATGAAAAGTATTTAACATATTTTATATTAAACAATTTCATATAGGTAAGTGAAACAATTCTTAGAACCATCACTAATAAAAAATTGAATATGATAATGCATTGTACTTGCAATAAAAGTAGAATAACCCTTTGAGAGTCAATTCAATATTTGAGTGGATAATAAATGTTGAAATTATAATTAATTTTTATGCATGAAAATAACTGAAATTTAGTATAAAATTGAAGTAAAGAGGGTCAATTAGTCAGTTAGGTACTTGGAGGAGTTAATGAACAAAAAAATGTGAAGAACATTGGGGGCAACCAAAACACAAAAAAAGTGAAAAAATATTCTTTATATTTATTTTCCTCAGCTGTTGTGTTATTGTTGTTTATATTCACTGAAAATGAAAGATTTTCGATCATTTTATAATGTTAAGATATTTCTTTGCATATTCCAAATTAATACTAAATTATAATTTGAAGTTGCGTATAATGAATATTAAATTAAAATTACTTGAAAAATAATTGTTAAAGAAAAAGTTGAAATTATTGAGAAATAAATATTATAAATTGTCTAATTCATGGTTGTTGTTAGAGAATTGAGAGATATAAATAAAAATTGAAAGCTAATTATAATATACCTTTATTTGGTGAGAGGTANGTATCAACTTATCGTTATGATAAACCTTAGGTAGAATCTGGCACTGCGAGTGGTGGGGGTGTTTTTGTTATTTTACAAAAATTTTATATATTGGGGTATTTAGTTAAATTTATAAACTTATGGGGTTTTTTAGAAATTTTTAAATTTATAAAAAATTAAAATTCAAACTTTCAAGGGCATTTTAGTATTTTCACTATTAATAAACAGAAATCACTAACCGAATATGACGGAAGGTACCTATTTGTCGTTTAAAAACTTTTTGGGTATCAACTTATCGTTATGATAAACCTTAGGTAGAATCTGGCACTGCGAGTGGTGGGGGTGTTTTTGTTATTTTACAAAAATTTTATATATTGGGGTATTTAGTTAAATTTATAAACTTATGGGGTTTTTTAGAAATTTTTAAATTTATAAAAAATTAAAATTCAAACTTTCAAGGGCATTTTAGTATTTTCACTATTAATAAACAGAAATCACTAACCGAATATGACGGAAGGTACCTATTTGTCGTTTAAAAACTTTTTGGGTATCAACTTATCGTTATGATAAACCTTAGGTAGAATCTGGCACTGCGAGTGGTGGGGGTGTTTTTGTTATTTTACAAAAATTTTATATATTGGGGTATTTAGTTAAATTTATAAACTTATGGGGTTTTTTAGAAATTTTTAAATTTATAAAAAATTAAAATTCAAACTTTCAAGGGCATTTTAGTATTTTCACTATTAATAAACAGAAATCACTAACCGAATATGACGGAAGGTACCTATTTGTCGTTTAAAAACTTTTTGGGTATCAACTTATCGTTATGATAAACCTTAGGTAGAATCTGGCACTGCGAGTGGTGGGGGTGTTTTTGTTATTTTACAAAAATTTTATATATTGGGGTATTTAGTTAAATTTATAAACTTATGGGGTTTTTTAGAAATTTTTAAATTTATAAAAAATTAAAATTCAAACTTTCAAGGGCATTTTAGTATTTTCACTATTAATAAACAGAAATCACTAACCAAATATGACGGAAGGTACCTATTTATCATTTAAAAACTTTTTAGGTATCAACTTATCGTTAAGATAAACCTTAGGTATGTACAAGTTGTTCAGCCTTAATTTTAAACAACAGGTTTTGTGTTTAGGTTGAGTTTCTTGCGAGAGATTAGAATGAAATTGGGTTTGGATCTGGCCTGGGGGTCCTTTGTTGGAAACAAAAAAAATGTAAACTCGAGGAATAAGCAAGTCAAAAAAAGGGTCCGGATTAAAGTCCCGAGATAGCCTAATTTTATAATTATATGAGAATCAAAATGAAATCTGGCTTGAAGGAATCGTGTCTATTGGTAGTTGGCACTTCGAGCTCGAGGCTCAATGATAATTGGAAATCATTCCTTCACATGGGTATTATATCATAAATATCTTATTGGGTCTTACGTTTGATATGAGGATCTGTATTTTAAATGGAAGTACATTTTAGGTTCAAACGGATAATCCCATTATAGTCCTAAAATTCAACAGGTTGAAAAGAAAGAGGAGATAGATTTCAGAAACAAACAGGATGTTACCTTGAATTCTTCTATAATCAATCTAAAAATTCTGCCATTTTTCTGTCAGCTGGATATCTACACAAATAAAGCTCAAAAGCAAATGCGCCCAAGGAGAGATCGCCAGATCGGTACTGACTAAGTTGACTGAGATTTACATTTATGATTACAACGATAGTAAACATTAAAAGAATAAAACAACATTCTTTACATAGAGAGATGGCTCAGTTTCCCCACCCCAGAAAGGCAAAAGGAAGATAGAAAATAAATATTAAGGATTGGAAAGAAAAAGAAAAGGTAAGAGAAGAAAAGGACAAACATTTATTCCATTCATCATCGTGGCAATTTTTATTTTCTTTTAAACCTGTGCAGCAATGATCATGTCTTGGCCACTTCAGTGATCTTTTCTGATTTCTCTTTCTCATCATCCTGCAAATTCAAGAAAGTTTAGCATCAAAACAAAGAAAAACAACGGCAACTGTAAGATCAATGAGTAAAAGACTGCTGAGAAACACATTGCCTCCAATTTCAGGTGACTCTAAGCTTGTCAAATTATGTATCAAGTAAATCTAAGGCATTTGATCATGAATGATAATTGAATTTAATAAGACTTGAGTCCTACAAACTGTTTATGTCGACATAAACATCAGCAGACTCACGACATTTTAGATTCCCAATATGTTATGTGTGCAGGTATGCATGTGTCTGCAAGAATGGGCATACAATTGATCATGTTGCGTCCTTAATAAATTGGATTGGTAATAACCAGGAGTGGCTCTTATCTTCTGTGATATTTTTTGCTGTTTTCCTTATACTTCAAAACAGTATAACAATTACATTCAACAGCCACAACCCTAAAGAGAATGGCAAGAATGTGAAACAATTTGTGTCCTCGAATATGTGTCATCAATAATCTAATCGAGTGGATATAAGTACAAGATGTTCAACAAATAGATCAACTTTTATAGTTTAACTTAGATCAAATCCAATGTGTTGACCTGCTCAGTGCCAGTACATAAATTGATCAAGATAAGAGACTATCACAAAAGATCAAATAGGCATTAGCAGAGTAAAAGCAGAAGGAAACAGATTGTGCTCACCGAACTATCTGCCATCTTGTCAAAGTCATCATCAAATACTTCATCACCATCATCTGACAAACCTGATTTATCTTCAGTACATTGATTTACACAACAAAATTCATAAAGCTTAAGATACTCCCATTGCTTGTATAGGTCTTATGCAAAATGATACATTTCTTACCTATAGATGGTAGAAATCAAATCTATAGAGCAGAAAATCTAAAGCAAGAGTAACAAGAAACGTGTGGATAAGTATGCACGGACATTATCGTTAAAAAATGGGTATTGTGAATTCTCTTCAGCTGTTAAAAGGAATAATATTGAAGGCACAATACGCTTAGGACTGGCTCCTAATGCAACTTAAACACTGGCCAAGGTTTAGCCAATGGAAGGAACCTACTAATTGCAGGATAAAAACTACCTCTCAAGTTTTACATAGAAGATTCAGTCACAAAAAAAGTTGCATGAACAGTGATGTAATCAAATGTGTCTAACAAAGGCCATAAAAAAGAAAAAGAAAATAAAATAAATAAACCAAGGAGAAAAGAGAGGACGTCAAAAATCAATAATCTTGACAAATAAATATGGTCAATAACTTGACACATTAATGAAAAAAATCCTATTATACCTGGGCCTTCATCACTGTCTCCACCCAGGAGAAATACATCCAAGTCTTGTTCCCTGGTTAAGGATGTTGAAGTCTTACTCTGATGCTGGTTCGATTCCTTTGCCCCTGATTTAGGAATTATTTCAACCTCTGAACTTCCTTCCACTCCATCATCCTTTACCTGTTCTTGAGATTTGAGCTTAACATCTTCCATGTATAGCTTCTCATAGCTAAAGGCAAAAAAAGAAAGGAAAGAGAAAAGGTATAAGAAAACTGGAAACTCATTCAACGGCATGGCAGAGAGGCAGCTATCTCTAGAAATACCATAGTGCCCAGAGCACATGTACTCGTAAGTAAGCATTTGCATTAATATCATATTTCTTTGTGCAAATAGTAACATACTTGCATGCATCTTCTCTACCTTTATGAGAGGAAAAAAAATAAAATGAAATAGGTTGAAGTATGATTCATGCATTCTAATTCCAAATCCCAACTCTATGGGAGCTATATCACATGGATTTGCTCCAAATATCTGAGGATCCTGCAGGTGGCTGCAAATGCAGAATGATTTGGCTATTGAGAAAAAAGCAGAGTTATAAATAACCTGCTTCATAACACAGTTGGCCTGTTAATTTTTTATTTTCATTTTAAACAAAAAGATTATTGTGTGAAAATGCACAGGCCTCTTTTCTCAAATAAGAAGTCAATCCATATATTGGTAATAAATTTTATTAGACAAGTATATACAGAAGCTCTTGAGCACACCTATACAAGTAAGGACATCCTTACTAGATAATTATTCAATTACTAAATTTACAATTATTTGTTTTTTTATTATAAATTTTCCATATGAAGAAGTGAAATACATAACAGGGGATTGCAGATATGTAATTGTATTCAGCTTACACAATCAATTATAGCAGAATCCCCTGAGTATATAGGTTTCTAAAGGCAGAATGATAAAAGAAAAAAGCCAGCAGAAGCTAGAATTGAGGTTTCTGACAAAGAGACAAGATACTTACGCTGCCACGTGGCTGTTAACTAGAATAAAATAGATCCTCCAGAACTTCCTTTCTTTCATAATACGTGGGCACAACTCATATCTTAATTTTGATATTTCCTGCATTGGAGCATAAAGGATAGCTATAAAACATAGAACACAAATTGAAAACAGAATAAGGAAAAAGGAAAAAGAATAAAAAAAGGCTGAAACCAGAAGTTCATATATGCACACAGGTAACCATAAGCATACGCTAATGTGCTTCTATGTCAAAATGATGCACGAAAAATATCAAGATTATAACAGGTCTAATCACAACGTAAGGGATGCACTTATCAACTGCAAAGGGAATTATCAACTAAAAAGTTGGTTCACATATAAAAGATTTCATTTAAATCCAGATGAAATCATCTATCTACAGAAACAGAAATTTGAAGAAGAAAATAGGCAACAAAGAAAACAAGTTTGAGCTCCTCACAGTTCTTATTCATTAAGCTCCTTTCACTAATAAAATTCATTCAAAATAATGAGGCCTCTCTCATAAAACAAAACAGCAAACCAATGAAGCATAAGTTAATTAGGAGTTTGCAATTTCTTTTCAAGCTGTTGATCCACTCTACAAAAGTGTCAGGACTTTCAAGAACAGAACTAACCTTAACCGTGGAAAGAACAAGAGTGGCATGTTTTTCTTGCCATTCATTAAGATCCTTCCTAACATTTGATTCAGTGGGAACATCCGTAATCTCTGAATCATCTGCACACCAAAGAATTCATCCAATTCGCTTCAACACCAAAACAATTCATGTTCATTTTCCATTACAAAACTATTGTTCAAAACCAAAAATTTTCCATTACAGGTAATTAAACTAAATTCTACAAAGTAAATTATCAAGAATATATACCATGAAAAAAACTAATCAACACAACATGCAGATATTCTATTTCCAACATTTTGGAAATATGAAAATTCAACTAATATAGCTATGCAGTTGCACTAACCCTATCTTTCCTATAATTCTCTCAGTAACAAAACAAATGCTATCATCAACTCATAAAAATATATAAATAAGTGAATGAAATTATTAAAAGAAAACATCAAGTAGTGTACCTTCCAATGGAAAATCCTGAAAGGTGCTAATAGTAATTTCCTTAACGAACTCTCTCAACTCTTCGGTGATTCCAAACCTCACCACATCCTCCTCCTGTTGCTGCTGTGGCGGGAGCACACCAGCAGGCGCGATGTTTTCAGCAAGAGACTTGATCTGGTCGGCTCGTTTGACGGCTTCAATTTTGATCTGCTCCGCTCGCTTTGAAGCCCCGGCTGCGATCTCCTTTGACCGCTTCGACGCTTCTGATACAATGTCCGAAAGCTTCGAGGAGGCGACGGTCAGCTCGGAGGATCGCTTCGCGGCTTCTTTCGTCAGCTCCTGCGACCGCCGCGCCGCTTCCTCCGCAAAGCTTCGCGCTTTCTGCCATATGTCCATTTGGCTCGGCTAAAGTTGAGCTGAATATTTCTTTCTTTGTCTCTATTTCTGCTTCGTTTTTGTTTTCGTTTGTTTGTTGTTTTGAAGAGGGAAGATAATCGACGAATTGGAAGACACTACCCGTTATTAATTAAGTATTATTCTTATATATATTTTTTTTCTTAGAGGGATATTATCAATTAAGAGACAATAATTTTTAAAAGTCAAAAAGGGACATAAGTTTCAAATTATCTTAAGAAAGGACAAAATTTTGTTAACCTCCAAAACTGACGGGAAAAAATTAAAAGACATAATTACCCATACATTAACATTTATAGAAATTATTTTAAAAAGATTTAGCATTTTTATAAAAAAAAAAATGTAAGACAATAAAACTATGCATTTTATTACCCATAAGTTAATATTTATTGTTTGATTGTAAATGTTTTTTTAAATTATATAAAATTTTCAAAATTAAAAATTTGTTAAATACATTTTGTATCCTTACCAAAGGTTAAACCTGACACTTTCTTACTGTATTTTTTTTTTTTTTAAGGTTATTTTTAAACTTGTGTCCCTTTTTTCTAGTGCAAAACGTTGTCTCTTGATTGATAGTACCCTATTTTTATACTAGAACTTAAAAAAACCAAAAATTCTTAAAGAATAAATGTTTATATTATGAAGATATAAATATAAATTGACCTGTTTTTCACTAATAGTTTCTTTATTAAAATTTTATGCATACTCTTAAAAGCATCACCAAATTAGTAAAATATGTATATTTTATCTAAGGTGTAACTAGAATGAACTGAGATGTTAATCTAAGATTTTAATTTAAACATAGAATAGTAATTATAACTTTTGTAGTATAAATAAGAGTAAAAGACTTTTTCCCACCCAGGTTTGCCTTAATGACACTTTCACAGCCAAAAGTTTCAAAACACTCTTTTTCCACACAAAGTTTATATTTGGTTAATACTCAAAATACATTTCACTTTCTCAGTAGGCGTTTGGCAAGTTACCAATAGCTAGGATCAGAAGGGTTTTATAGAGTAGAGGCTGGTGGCTTGAATGGTGGTTACCGATTAAATATTCGTCATCGGAATTATTCGATAATCAACTAAAAACAAGAAATCTTAGCTTTACGGTGGTTGACAATCGATAAGAAATTAAGTGCTAAACTGAGAAAAGTTTTATAGAGAGAAAACTGGAGGTTTAAATAGTAGTAATGGAGAGAATTAGCTTTGGATAGTAACAGAATATTAATTTTGGGTGAAATTTTAAGGGAAACCTTGGGTGGGAAAAAGTCGTTTACACTATATTAAAAATAAAATAAAGGATAAACGGGCCGACTTAATTGAGGCCCATTGGAAACCTGATAGCCGAAGAGAACAGCTTCGTTGATCCCAAAGCCGGTAGGGTAGGGGATGTGGCAGAAAACCTAAATTACATTGGAGATTGGAGCCAATTTTGTCAAGAATCTTCTCCTGCTTTTTAAACACAAAGACAAGTTAAATTAAGAATTTAGAGCCCACAGTCTCCAATAAAGCAACTTCCTGCCACACTTTTTTTCTTGCCCTCCAAACAACATTTAAAAATTCTTTACACTCATCTCTATTCATCATATTACACGTGTCTATCTTCAGCATTACGAAGTCCCACGTAATGCACTAAGAATAATCATTATCTTAAATTTGAAGGGTGTTTTTGTAATTCCATAATTTGACTCAACTTTTGCTCTTCTCAACTCTATCTAATCTAAAACTTAGTTTTAGCTTGAACTTGCATTGAGTCTCAAGTCACAGGCAAATAGCGAAGCTTTTCTGTAGCTCTAACTCTTTTTCTATTTTCTTGTTTATTTTGTTTTTCCATTAACACTCTTGTGTGCCCATAAAAGGAAAACCAAAACCAAACAGGTCTCTTGTCTATTTTTTGGCTGTTTCAAAGAGCTTACTTTAGCTATCAACCACATTCCAGTTTGAGAAACATGCACCACTTCAAAATTTGCTCTGGCTCTGCTATTGCTACTGCTACTGCTACTGTCACACAAGGTTCTTTTCTTTACCTTCTTGTTTTGCTTGTTATTTAATGAATGGCTCTTTAATTAATTTATTTTTTTGTTCAATTTTTTTATGATTTTTTAGTATTTTGGTTTATTTTATGTGGAATTTGTTGTGGTTTCTATTATTAATTTTTGGGAGTGATACTGAAATTTAATAAGTGGGTATTATTTAAGTTGCTTATCTGTGGGATTTTTGCTCTTGCTTTTGTGTTTAGCATTATTTTTATTTTTATTTTTGAAAGGATTTATGTTGGGATAAGTGGTGATCTTTGGGAGTATTTTTATTTGAGTTATTTGTTTTTCATATTGAAGTTAATTTGCATGCTTAATACAAGATTTAATTTGTGGGTTTGTGTTTCTAGGGTTTGGTTCAGGGTTTGACTGATAGCGAGTGTTTGTGTAAAATGTTGGTTCTAAGCATGAATTCAAAAAGACAAAGACGCCCAAATGTTAGGTTAGGGGAAATTGGAGATGTTTCTGCAGCTTTTGCATGTGGGTTTTCGCAAAGATCGCATGAGAATTTGGGGCAGAAGAGATGGAAACATGATTTTGGGAACCCAAGTGAGACTGAACCTAATTCCATTTTTGAGTTTTCAAGTAAAAAATCTCCTGAGTTCACAGTTATGGACCCTGGTGTATCTCCAAGGATTTCAGCTGATTTCCAACAGAACAGGGAGAATAAGAACCCAAATTCTTCAAAATTAGCTTTTGAACATGTAATTTTGGATAAAACTGATATAACAAAGTCTGCAGTAAATTTTGGTACTGTCACCCGGAAGAGCAGGGTCATGAAGCGGAGAAGCCGGAACACGAGAGGCAAAAATAATGCTTTTGGTGGTGCTTGGAATTCTAAACTTAGCCCCGAGTTTAGTAGTGAAGATGGAAAAGAGGATGGAGAGAAGGAGTATGTTGGATTCACGTCAAATATATGTGATGATTATTACCCCGAGAATGGTATTAAAGACTTTTCAGATCATGGAACACCAGCTACTAGCAAAGAGGCTTGTGAATTTGATGTGGATGAAACCACTTATGATGCATGGCAACCAGGTAATTCCAGTGACTTTTGGAAGGAGGATACTTTTTATGTAGGGAATGATGCATTTATTAATAATGGTGTTGAATGGAATGAGATGAGATATGGAGGTAGTGATGTAAGTACTGTTCGGGGATGGTTAGACGAGCTAGGATTTGGTAAGTACGCAGGTGTATTTGAAATGCATGAGGTGGACGAGGAAACCTTGCCGTTGCTTACCCTTGAAGATCTCAAAGAGATGGGTGTTTTTGCTGTTGGGCCTAGAAGGAAGTTGTATAATGCAATACAGCAACTTAGAGGAGAAGTCGTTTCTGCTTAATAACTTCCTCAACCTAGATTGTAGGTAACTTAATGTTTTTTGTTCTCACTGGCTCTTTTGTGCAGGAAAAAGTCACCATGTATGTACCTTTTTGAACCCCTAACATGTTTTCATTTTTTCGCTCGTTCTGCTGATGAGATAAGATTAATGCTTCATACTCTTTTGTTTCTGTTAGATATTTCTTTCAGCACTTTTCGTCACTCACTTTCAAGAACCTTATGTAATTTGGGATATATCACTGCCAACTGAGCAGACAATTTTTGTTGGAACTTGTTTACAAGAAACTTGTGTGTGTGAAGCATAAAGTATCGGTGATATTTAGTTTGTCCTTTCAAAGTGTATATGTTTATAATAGTTGTCCTCTGTCAATACGATACTAAATCTCTACCGCTTTTATGGTTTGATGATATTTTTTATCCTTTGTGAAGTAAGACAACTGCATTGATAAGACAATCTCCTTCGCATGATATGTAATGCATCTTTTATGTGTATATATTGTCATGGTACTTTGGTTAATACCTACTTGTACGATTAGGATTTTGCTCTTCTTTCTCTATGCATTTCCTTTTGTTATGCCTAAATTTATAATGGTTATCTTCCTTTGCATCTAAATTCAGAGGGGTAACACTCGTAGACATTTCCCTTCCTGTAGCATTTAGTGATGGTCATTACTGAAGCATACTGGTCTGCAATGTGTTATCGGACATAAGTTTCAAATTATCTTAAGAAAGGACAAAATTTTGTTAACCTCCAAAACTAACGGAAACAAAATTAAAAGACATAATTACCCATCATAACATTTATAGAAATTACAGTAAAATGTCATTATTCTCAAAATAATATTCTATATTTTTTTAATTTTTTAAACCTCTTAAATTTATAATTTAACTAAACATCTTAAATATTTTTTTTTTTAAATTGCAAAAATACTTCGGCCACCCTCCGGCGGTGGTGGCCGACTGTCCGTATAATGGGTAGATTATGGGTGTTTTTATTAACTTTTAATATTTATATAGGGGTGTTTAGTAAATAAATAAACATAGGAGATATTTTTGTTAATTTTCAAATCCTACATCGTAATACCCGCAAATTTAACTTTTTTCAAAAGATTATTCTAAAAACTATCAGAATAATGAACCAAACGGAGCCTTAGCATTTATAAAAAAAATGTAAGCCAATAAAACTATGCATTTTATTACCCATAAGTTATATTTATTGTTTGATTGTAAATGTTTTTTAAACTATATAAATTTTCAAAATTAAAAATTTGTTAACATTTTGTATCCTTACCAAAGGTAAACATACACTTTCTAACCTTGTTTTTTTTAAAGGATTTTTAAATTGTGTCCCTTTTTTCTAGTGCAAAAACTGTTGTCTCTGATTGATAATACCCTATTTATACTAGAAATTAAAAAAAACCAAAATTCTTAAAGAATAAATGTTTATATTATGCAAATATAATATAAATTGACCTGTTTTTCACTAATAATTTCTTTATTAAAAATTATGCATACTCTAAAAGCATCACCAAATTAGTAAAAATGTGTATATTTATCTAAGTTGTAACCATAATAAACAAGGGTGCGTTTGGTTTTATTTTGGATATGATTTTGAGAATAATATTAGGTAGTGAATAAGGGAGTATTATGAGGTAAAATTTAAAAATTTATAAAAACCCCATAGGTTGCTAATTTAACTAAACACCCCAATATATAAAAATTTTATAAAATGACAAAAACACCTCCACCATCGCAGTGCCAGATTTCGGCCCACCGTCGGAATCTGGTCAGAAAATTGCGTTACGACACAGACCGGTCGGATCTGTGTTGTAACGTGTCGATATGGCCTTTTCCGTATGATCCACCATGGATTGGCGGGAAAAGGCCAGATTGAAGGCCAAATGTGGCCGTTGACGGCTGCAAAAGTCCAACGATGGTCAAGATATGGTCGTCGCTGAAAGCCAGATTCACTGGGATCTGGCTGGAAAAGGCCAGATCGGTGAATTACTGGCCTTTTTCGGTGTGGTGTAGGCTGTTGTAACAGATTCGACTACCACCGACGGGGTTGCCGGGATCTGGCAAGTATGGGTTTAGGGGTGTTTTTGTTACTTCTTAAACTTTTTTTCTAGGGATATTAACGAAATTAATAAACTTAAGGGGTTAATAATAAAAAAATCAATAATATTTCTCAAAAATATGCCAAATAATATTTGGGGATAGGATTGGGAATATGGATAATAATATGGAACCAAACGTTATTCTAAGATTTTAATTTAGACATAGAATAGTAATTATAATTTTTGTAGTATAAATAATAGTAAAGAATTTTTCCCACCAAGGTTTGCCTCAATGACACTTTCATAGCCAAAAGTTTCAAACACCCCTTTCCCACATAAAGTTTATATTTCATTAATACTCAAAATACATTTCACTTTCTTAGCAGGCGTTTGGCGAATTATCAGGAGCCAGGATCAGAGGGTTTTTATAGAGTAGAGGCTGGTGGCTTGAATGGTGGTTACCGATTAAATATTCGTCATCGGAATCATCTAATAATCAACAAAAAATAAAAATCCTAGCTTTGCAATGACTGACAATCGACAAGAAATAAAGTGTCAAACTAAGAGAGTTTTATAGAGAGAGATTGGAGGTTTAAATGGTGATGATGGAGAGAATTTGTTGTCAAAATTGATATTGGATAGTAACATAATGTTAATTTTGGGTGAAAAAATAGTATTTTAAAACTTTTCAAATGAGAGATTATTAAGGCAAACCTTGGTGGGAAAAAGTCGTTACTCTATATTAATAAAATAAACGGATAAACGGGCCGACTTAATTGAGGCCATTGGAAACCTGTAAGCCGAAGAAACAGCTCGTGATCCCAAAACCGGTAGGGCAGGGGATGTGGCAGAAAACCTAAATTACATTGGAGATTGGAGCCAATTTTGTCAAGAATCTTCTCCTGCTTTTTGAAACACAAGAAAAGTAAATTAAGAATTTAGAGCCCACAGTCTCCAACAAAGCACTTCTGCCACACTTTTTCTCTTGCCCTCCAAACAACATTTAAAAATTCTCTACACTCATCTCTATTCATCTCATAACATCTTCCATGTATAGCTTCTCATAGCTAAAGGCAAAAAAAGCAAGGAAAGAGAAAAAGTATAAGAAAACTGGAAACTCATTCAACGGCATGGCAGAGAGGCAGCTATCTCTAGAAATACCGTAGTGCCCAGAGCACATGTACCCGTAAGTAAGCATTTGCATTAATATCATATTTCTCTGTGCAAATAGTAACATACTTGCATGCATCTTCTCTACCTTTATGAGAGGAAAAAAAATAAAATGAAATAGGTTGAAGTATGATTCATGCATTCTAATTCCAAATCCCAACTCTATGGGAGCTATATCACATAGATTTGCTCAAATATCTGAGGATCCTGCAGGTGGCTGCAAATGCAGAATGATTTGGCTATTGAGAAAAAAGCAGAGTTATGAATAACCTGCTTCATAACACAGTTGGCCTGTTAATTTTTTATTTTCATTTTAAACAAAAAGATTATTGTGTGAAAATGCACAGGCCTCTTTTCTCAAATAAGAAGTCAATCCATATATTGGTAATAAATTTTATTAGACAAGTATATACAGAAGCTCTTGAGCACACCTATACAAGTAAGGACGTCCTTACTAGAGAATTATTCAATTACTAAATTTACAATTATTTGTTTTTTTATTATAAATTTTCCATATGAAGAAGTGAAATACATAACAGGGGATTGCAGATATGTAATTGTATTCAGCTTACACAATCAATTATAGCAGAATCCCCTGAGTATATAGGTTTCTAAAGGCAGAATGATAAAAGAAAAAAGCCAGCAGAAGCTAGAATTGAGGTTTCTGACAAAGAGACAAGATACTTACGCTGCCACGTGGCTGTTAACTAGAATAAAATAGATCCTCCAGAACTTCCTTTCTTTCATAATACGTGGGCACAACTCATATCTTAATTTTGATATTTCCTGCATTGGAGCATAAAGGATAGCTATAAAACATAGAACACAAATTGAAAACAGAATAAGGAAAAAGGAAAAAGAATAAAAAAAGGCTGAAACCAGAAGTTCATATATGCACACAGGTAACCATAAGCATACGCTAATGTGCTTCTATGTCAAAATGATGCACGAAAAATATCAAGATTATAACAGGTCTAATCACAACGTAAGGGATGCACTTATCAACTGCAAAGGGAATTATCAACTAAAAAGTTGGTTCACATATAAAAGATTTCATTTAAATCCAGATGAAATCATCTATCTACAGAAACAGAAATTTGAAGAAGAAAATAGGCAACAAAGAAAACAAGTTTGAGCTCCTCACAGTTCTTATTCATTAAGCTCCTTTCACTAATAAAATTCATTCAAAATAATGAGGCCTCTCTCATAAAACAAAACAGCAAACCAATGAAGCATAAGTTAATTAGGAGTTTGCAATTTCTTTTCAAGCTGTTGATCCACTCTACAAAAGTGTCAGGACTTTCAAGAACAGAACTAACCTTAACCGTGGAAAGAACAAGAGTGGCATGTTTTTCTTGCCATTCATTAAGATCCTTCCTAACATTTGATTCAGTGGGAACATCCGTAATCTCTGAATCATCTGCACACCAAAGAATTCATCCAATTCGCTTCAACACCAAAACAATTCATGTTCATTTTCCATTACAAAACTATTGTTCAAAACCAAAAATTTTCCATTACAGGTAATTAAACTAAATTCTACAAAGTAAATTATCAAGAATATATACCATGAAAAAAACTAATCAACACAACATGCAGATATTCTATTTCCAACATTTTGGAAATATGAAAATTCAACTAATATAGCTATGCAGTTGCACTAACCCTATCTTTCCTATAATTCTCTCAGTAACAAAACAAATGCTATCATCAACTCATAAAAATATATAAATAAGTGAATGAAATTATTAAAAGAAAACATCAAGTAGTGTACCTTCCAATGGAAAATCCTGAAAGGTGCTAATAGTAATTTCCTTAACGAACTCTCTCAACTCTTCGGTGATTCCAAACCTCACCACATCCTCCTCCTGTTGCTGCTGTGGCGGGAGCACACCAGCAGGCGCGATGTTTTCAGCAAGAGACTTGATCTGGTCGGCTCGTTTGACGGCTTCAATTTTGATCTGCTCCGCTCGCTTTGAAGCCCCGGCTGCGATCTCCTTTGACCGCTTCGACGCTTCTGATACAATGTCCGAAAGCTTCGAGGAGGCGACGGTCAGCTCGGAGGATCGCTTCGCGGCTTCTTTCGTCAGCTCCTGCGACCGCCGCGCCGCTTCCTCCGCAAAGCTTCGCGCTTTCTGCCATATGTCCATTTGGCTCGGCTAAAGTTGAGCTGAATATTTCTTTCTTTGTCTCTATTTCTGCTTCGTTTTTGTTTTCGTTTGTTTGTTGTTTTGAAGAGGGAAGATAATCGACGAATTGGAAGACACTACCCGTTATTAATTAAGTATTATTCTTATATATATTTTTTTTCTTAGAGGGATATTATCAATTAAGAGACAATAATTTTTAAAAGTCAAAAAGGGACATAAGTTTCAAATTATCTTAAGAAAGGACAAAATTTTGTTAACCTCCAAAACTGACGGGAAAAAATTAAAAGACATAATTACCCATACATTAACATTTATAGAAATTATTTTAAAAAGATTTAGCATTTTTATAAAAAAAAAAATGTAAGACAATAAAACTATGCATTTTATTACCCATAAGTTAATATTTATTGTTTGATTGTAAATGTTTTTTAAACTATATAAAATTTTCAAAATTAAAAATTTGTTAAATACATTTTGTATCCTTACCAAAGGTTAAACCATACACTTTCTTACTGTATTTTTTTTTTTTTTAAGGTTATTTTTAAACTTGTGTCCCTTTTTTCTAGTGCAAAAACTGTTGTCTCTTGATTGATAATACCCTAATTTTATACTAGAAATTAAAAAAACCAAAAATTCTTAAAGAATAAATGTTTATATTATGCAAATATAAATATAAATTGACCTGTTTTTCACTAATAATTTCTTTATTAAAAATTTATGCATACTCTTAAAAGCATCACCAAATTAGTAAAAATGTGTATATTTTATCTAAGTTGTAACCATAATAAACAAGGGTGCGTTTGGTTTATTATTTTGGATATGATTTTGAGAATAATATTAGGTAGTTGAATAAGGGAGTATTATGAGGTAAAATTTAAAAATTTATAAAAAACCCCATAGGTTTGCTAATTTAACTAAACACCCCAATATATAAAAATTTTATAAAATGACAAAAACACCTCCACCACTCGCAGTGCCAGATTTCGGCCACCACCGTCGGAATCTGGTCAGAAAATTGCGTTACGACACAGACCGGTCGGATCTGTGTTGTAACGTGTCGATATGGCCTTTTCCGTCTAGATCCACCATGGATCTGGCGGGAAAAGGCCAGATTGAAGGCCAAATGTGGCCGTTGACGGCTGCAAAAGTCCAACGATGGTCAAAGATATGGTCGTCGCTGAAAGCCAGATTCACTGTGGATCTGGCTGGAAAAGGCCAGATCGGTGAATTACTGGCCTTTTTCGGTCGTGGTGTAGGCTGTTGTAACAGATTCCGACTACCACCGACGGTGGTTGCCGGGATCTGGCAAGTATGGGTTTAGGGGGTGTTTTTGTTACTTCTTAAACTTTTTTTCTAGGGATATTTAACGAAATTAATAAACTTAAGGGGTCTAAAATAATTAAAAAAATACAATAATATTTCTCAAATAATATGCCAAATAATATTTGGGGATAGGATTGGGAATATGGATAATAATATGGAACCAAACGTTATTCTAAGATTTTAATTTAGACATAGAATAGTAATTATAATTTTTGTAGTATAAATAATAGTAAAAGATTTTTTCCCACCCAAGGTTTGCCTCAATGACACTTTCATAGCCAAAAGTTTCAAAACACCCCTTTCCCACATAAAGTTTATATTTCATTAATACTCAAAATACATTTCACTTTCTTAGCAGGCGTTTGGCGAATTATCAGGAGCCAGGATCAGAGGGTTTTTATAGAGTAGAGGCTGGTGGCTTGAATGGTGGTTACCGATTAAATATTCGTCATCGGAATCATCTAATAATCAACAAAAAATAAAAAATCCTAGCTTTGCAATGACTGACAATCGACAAGAAATAAAGTGTCAAACTAAGAAGAGTTTTATAGAGAGAAGATTGGAGGTTTAAATGGTGATGATGGAGAGAATCTTTGTTGTCAAAATTGATATTGGATAGTAACATAATGTTAATTTTGGGTGAAAAAATAGTATTTTAAAACTTTTCAAATGAGAGATTATTAAGGCAAACCTTGGTGGGAAAAAGTCGTTTACTCTATATTAATAAAATAACGGATAAACGGGCCGACTTAATTGAGGCCCATTGGAAACCTGTAAGCCGAAGAGAACAGCCTCGTTGATCCCAAAACCGGTAGGGCAGGGGATGTGGCAGAAAACCTAAATTACATTGGAGATTGGAGCCAATTTTGTCAAGAATCTTCTCCTGCTTTTTGAACACAAAGAAAAGTTAAATTAAGAATTTAGAGCCCACAGTCTCCAACAAAGCAACTTCCTGCCACACTTTTTCTCTTGCCCTCCAAACAACATTTAAAAATTCTCTACACTCATCTCTATTCATCTCATTACACGTGTCCATCTTCAGCATTCCGAAGTCCCACGTAATGCACTCAGAATAATCATTATCTTAAATTTGAAGGGTGTTTTTGTAATTCCATAATTTGACTCAACTTTTGCTCTTCTCAACTCTATCTAATCTAAAACTTAGTTTTAGCTTGAACTTGCATTGAGTCTCAAGTCACAGGCAAATAGCGAAGCTTTTCTGTAGCTCTAACTCTTTTTCTATTTTCTTGTTTATTTTGTTTTTCCATTAACACTCTTGTGTGCCCATAAAAGGAAAACCAAAACCAAACAGGTCTCTTGTCTATTTTTTGGCTGTTTCAAAGAGCTTACTTTAGCTATCAACCACATTCCAGTTTGAGAAACATGCACCACTTCAAAATTTGCTCTGGCTCTGCTATTGCTACTGCTACTGCTACTGTCACACAAGGTTCTTTTCTTTACCTTCTTGTTTTGCTTGTTATTTAATGAATGGCTCTTTAATTAATTTATTTTTTTGTTCAATTTTTTTATGAGTTTTTAGTATTCTGGTTTATTTTATGTGGAATTTGTTGTGGTTTCTACTGTTAATTTTTGGTAGTGATACAGAAATTTAATAAGTGGGTATTATTTAAGTTGCTTATCTGTGGGATTTTTCCTCTTGCTTTTGTGTTTAGCATTATTTTTATTTTTATTTTTGATAGGATTTATGCTGGGATAAGTGGTGATTTTTGGGAGTATTTTTATTTGAGTTATTTGTTTTTCATATTGAAGTTAATTTGCATGCTTAATACAAGATTTAATCTGTGGGTTTGTGTTTCTAGGGTTTGGTTCAGGGTTTGACTGATAGCGAGTGATTGTGGAAAATGTTGGTTCTAAGCATGAATTCAAAAAGACAAAGACGCCCAAATGTTAGGTTAGGGGAAATTGGAGATGTTTCTGCAGCTTTTGCATGTGGGTTTTCGCAAAGATCGCATGCGAATTTGGGGCAGAAGAGATGGAAACATGATTTTGTGAACCCAAGTGAGACTGAACCTAATTCCATTTTTCAGTTTTCAAGTAAAAAATCTCCTGAGTTCACAGTTATGGACCCTGGTGTATCTCCAAGGATTTCAGCTGATTTCCAACAGAACAGGGAGAATAAGAACCCAAATTCTTCAAAATTAGCTTTTGAACATGTAATTTTGGATAAAACTGATATAACAAAGTCTGCAGTAAATTTTGGTACTGTCACCCGGAAGAGCAGGGTCATGAAGCGGAGAAGCCGGAACACGAGAGGCAAAAATAATGCTTTTGGTGGTGCTTGGAATTCTAAACTTAGCCCCGAGTTTAGTAGTGAAGATGGAAAAGAGGATGGAGAGAAGGAGTATGTTGGATTCACGTCAAATATATGTGATGATTATTACCCCGAGAATGGTATTAAAGACTTTTCAGATCATGGAACACCAGCTACTAGCAAAGAGGCTTGTGAATTTGATGTGGATGAAACCACTTATGATGCATGGCAACCAGGTAATTCCAGTGACTTTTGGAAGGAGGATACTTTTTATGTAGGGAATGATGCATTTATTAATAATGGTGTTGAATGGAATGAGATGAGATATGGAGGTAGTGATGTAAGTACTGTTCGGGGATGGTTAGACGAGCTAGGATTTGGTAAGTACGCAGGTGTATTTGAAATGCATGAGGTGGACGAGGAAACCTTGCCGTTGCTTACCCTTGAAGATCTCAAAGAGATGGGTGTTTTTGCTGTTGGGCCTAGAAGGAAGTTGTATAATGCAATACAGCAACTTAGAGGAGAAGTCGTTTCTGCTTAATAACTTCCTCAACCTAGATTGTAGGTAACTTAATGTTTTTTGTTCTCACTGGCTCTTTTGTGCAGGAAAAAGTCACCATGTATGTACCTTTTTGAACCCCTAACATGTTTTCATTTTTTCGCTCGTTCTGCTGATGAGATAAGATTAATGCTTCATACTCTTTTGTTTCTGTTAGATATTTCTTTCAGCACTTTTCGTCACTCACTTTCAAGAACCTTATGTAATTTGGGATATATCACTGCCAACTGAGCAGACAATTTTTGTTGGAACTTGTTTACAAGAAACTTGTGTGTGTGAAGCATAAAGTATCGGTGATATTTAGTTTGTCCTTTCAAAGTGTATATGTTTATAATAGTTGTCCTCTGTCAATACGATACTAAATCTCTACCGCTTTTATGGTTTGATGATATTTTTTATCCTTTGTGAAGTAAGACAACTGCATTGATAAGACAATCTCCTTCGCATGATATGTAATGCATCTTTTATGTGTATATATTGTCATGGTACTTTGGTTAATACCTACTTGTACGATTAGGATTTTGCTCTTCTTTCTCTATGCATTTCCTTTTGTTATGCCTAAATTTATAATGGTTATCTTCCTTTGCATCTAAATTCAGAGGGGTAACACTCGTAGACATTTCCCTTCCTGTAGCATTTAGTGATGGTCATTACTGAAGCATACTGGTCTGCAATGTGTTATCTGCATTTTCTTGTTTGATAAACAATCGTCATGGTCTGATAATGTTTCACATGTATTGTTGAAGAAATACATCACCATAGTTGCTTATGAAATTGATAGTTAGCATATGTCTAGCATCTTGGTTTGTAACTGTAGTACTTGTTTCTACATGTCTCTTTCTTTCTCATTTTCATTTGAAGTAATCTATTTAAGTCATGGCAGTGCTTGAAAATTCTGAACCAGATGTAAAATCATTACGTAAAACTTAAATGCTAATGGAAGAAGTCAAGTCTCCAAGAAAGTAAGTAAATCTCATCTTTTGGGTCCCACTACAAAACTGTGAAACCAAGTGCACCACTTGAAAAAGGTGTTAGTGAGGCTTATATGGCTTTAAAGAAAGTGCTCTTATATTCAAGTGATGGTGATGTTCTGTTTTCTGACTCAAAAGGTTGGCTCGTTAATATCTAATTCTATTCTTCTTTGGATGTCGATTGGATGTTTCTGCCATGCTTTTAAGAACGATATTTTCACTTACTGGGAATCCTGTCTTTGTAGATACGAAATAAGTATGTTGCACTTGGTAAGTGTTTGTAGAATTTGAATTGGGGATTTTAATGAAAATATAAGCTTTTTCCCCCTAAAGAAATATGGGGGAGGTTACAAACTTCCACTTATTCATTGGTTGCTGGCATTGGGCTCTAAAGTTTTGAATTCCAAGTTGTTGATTTAGTGTTTGGTGCCCATAAAAGCTCTTGCTTAGACCCAGGTCAAAATTCCAAATTCATCAAATAATTAACTAGCAGTTGAACCTTGGATCTTTGATTGTAAGTTGGTATATATGGAAACTGAAATGGAAGCTTTAATTAGACATAAAATTTGTTTTAAGGTTATTGATATGGTAGACCCTTTTGAATTTAATTTTTTCTTTCAACAGTTTATGAGATATCATTGCTTGTAATGTAGGTTGATGAGCCAAATCGTCTAGTAAAACAACTCCCACAATAATTTATCATGTTTTAGGAAAAGGGTTGATTATTAACCTCAATAATAGTTTAAACCCGATTACCTTACAATTTTTGTCTACTCCTCAGTTCTTCTTAAAACTGATAACATTTCTTCACGGTTTCCAACACATGTGGTTCTTGAATCTTGACGTTGTATTAAAATTGTCAAATGATATGACAGACTGATATTACTTTTATTATTATTGAATTTGGTATTTTATATAATAATAATAATTACTTCATCCTTATAATGTTTATGCTTTTGATTGTAAATTGTTAATCATGTACGAAATGAAGATAATTAAGTCATAATTTAAGCACATGAACCTAGAGCGAAAAGCAAAAGGCATTAAGCAAAGCCATGCATAGTTATGTTGTACCTACCACTTCCACTCTTAATATCCCAGATATTTTTAGATTTTCTTCTTATTTATTTCACCTACCCATGTATCATACTATAATTAAGCTTATGTTAATCTTACTTAACTAATTACTATTGGATGATTTGATGGTACAATAGCGATAGAAGGTTTCATGAACTCTTGAGTTTGAGTCTTCACAAACTCTAATAGAGGTGACCATTAAGAGGTTTATTTGATCGTTAATTTCAGGGTTCCGATGGATTAGTTGGATACACGCAAACTAACACGGATACCCGCAATCATCAAAAAAGAAATCTTACTTAACTGAGGAGGCTAACACATGATTTGGCAATAATTATATTATATATAAAAATAAAATAACGCCATAATTAAGCTTTTGAAAGTTGTTAATTTTAGAAAGAAAGTTAAAAAGGTTATCAAACAACCTAGTTATACCATTTTCTCTGCTTATATTATAATAAGATACCTTCAACTTCAAAATTTCTGGTGGGTCCTTTTAAGATATTTTTAAACAATTTCATAATCAAGATTAATTAAACTTACTGTTAATCATAATTGCACAGCCATCATCATCAGTAGCATGCGGTGTTGAAAAATAATTTTTCAGTTAGTTATTAAACTAATTTTAATCCTTAATTAATCAAGGATTAGTGGTGGATTAGAGAGTGATATGACTTGTGATAGCAAAACAACGAAAGCATCACTTGGGATTTTTTGTTGTTATCAATTTGGCAAGTGGGTACTAATTTAATATTTTCTGAATCTTCTCCTTCTTTTACAAAACAAACACTCTAAATTAAACGACTCTATCATGTAATTTCTTCGACATTTCCATCTCTTGTGGCTGCTTTTGCCACTTCTTTCTAAATCTACACTTAAATATCAAGGGTCAGCATGAGTAAAGGGTAGAACCAAAACCGACCCTAGTTGTAAAAAATTAGAATCGGAAATTCTTGGGTCTGATTTTACAGTGTTAGAATCTTAAAAACCAATCGATTTCGATTCCTTCAAAAAATGCAAGGTACTTGGAATAGATCATTCCTACTAAATATTATGATTTTCTTGGGATAACCAAGCTAATAATATGGAAGATACATATAACAGTTTCATCGCTCATAGTAGCCATGTGAAGAATTGCATGCAGGTAAAGGGTACTAAATACCTAACTCAAACTATAGTTACAGCAGGATCCACTCTTGATCTGAGTTTAAATCTAAACTTTTAAAACCTTGTGATTGATAGCAACAGAATAGAAAATATACTAGACAAATAGATCTAAACCATAAATATATAAGAATGTACAAGTGTCCTGAGCTCACATCAGGAGAAGAGCAAGATCTCAGATGACGCCTACTACATTCAATGTGAATAAAATTCTCTCCAGACCCCAAAAAACTTGGAATTTGTAGTCTCCATTCTCCACAATTTATAGATTTGGAAAACATTAATTCATTGTATACTGTGGGAGGGACATGGCATAAAAATATTAAGTGTCAGCTGATGCCACCAGATTTGGCTACAAACGGATTATTGAGCAAGATCCAAGAACTTTGAGAACTGAAATTAAAATTACGTTCATCAGTTACCCAGTCTGGTTTTTTGTGCATTTACAAATTGTTTAATCTCCATCATTTTTGTGTTGCTTCTTGCTGGGAATGTTTCAGCAATTTGACTGTCTCCTCCACATTCAAGATTTAGAAAGTTTACACCCATTAGATTAATTCCGTGGTATGATTACTTTCTCTATAATATTAGTAATATATTAAAAGAGTAAGTAGATGATCTAATATGGTCTTCCGAGTTCGAGTTCTCACGATTGTTAATAAAGTTGACCATTGGAGATTGTACTCGGCTGGTAGTTTCAAGGTTCTGAGAAATTAGTTGAAGTGCACGTAAGCTGGCCCGAACATCCTCGATTATAAAAAAAAATATATAAATATATTATTAATATATTTCATCAAACAAATAAATATTTAAAATATAACAAATATTTAATGATTATGAAAATTAAAAGATTAAAACAAAAATATTAAATATCAAAATGAATTATGATAATTTTTTATTTTTTGGTGTTTGGGATGTTCAAACCAATTTATACGCAACTTAACTAATCATCGGAGTCTGTTGGATACTGTATAAGCTTAAATAGTTAAATAAATCATAATAGGATAAGTGATCTTATTTGTAAAAGAACAAACCTCTTAAGCGGCCAGACCAATCCGTGTGGGGTTAATTATGAGAAATTTAGTTTCTCCTGTTTGCGTATTAGTATTGTTTACGTTGAAAACAAGAGAAGCTGGGGGCAGTGGAGGGCCCAAATTATTGAATTACAAAAGTGTCCGATTCGATCAATCACTCACGGAAAAAAAAAAAAAATTACAAAATAATTTGGGGGACCAGACATTACATTAACATTCTCAATTAGCAATAAAATAATAAAATTCAGTTGAACATAAAAGGATTATTTTATTTTAATTGAAGAAATGAGATTATTTAGTTTGAATGGGTTGGACTCATAGTCTTCAGTTGGACCCCATGTGGAAGACCTTATGAAATTTGAAATTTGAAATATGAAAATGTGTTGGATGGTCTTATTACCTAGATTGAGCCTATCAATTAAATTATTGTTTAAAAGTCAAATTGTTTGGGGTTCGCTGATTTTGATACCTACAATTTTCAATTATTTCTTTCCATTTTGTCAACATTTCACCAAAACATTTTAAATGATTTTCACGTAAATCAACACTTTCCATTTTAGATTAATATCTTAAACAAACTAAAAATTTTTGTTCTTTTTGAGTTTATCTACCAGTTAAAAGTTAAAAGAGTTTATTAAATATCGTAAGTGCTTTTGAAATTAATTTAAGTTGTTTGGTTGTATTTGACTTAATAAGCTTTATTCGAATATGCTATTTCAAACGAATCATAAAACTAATATAGGTTATATTTGAAGAAATCGTACGATGAACCTGACAAATTTTTCATAAAACCTAAACTTTACTTTAATAAACTCTTTTTCTATAAGTTCTATTGGAATAAACCGTATAGATGTGTACCACATTAACTAAACAATGTTAAAAATCCCACTAAAACCTGTGGGGGAAAATGAAGCTAAATGACGCAAAGACTATGGGCAAATGGACATAAGAGAAGAGAGGCGAAAGAAAGAGGGAGCCTAATTCATTTTCACATGATAGATGGGG